TGGCTCAGGGACGGAGGCCCATGTTGTATTCTGGCTTAGGTCATGCTACAGGTCAGTGCACTTTTTCTGCCCACTTGTGGGCGATTTTTGCATACCGCCCCTGGGGCGTTTTCTTCCCGCATATGGTGCGCCCAACATCCGTATCGGTGGCTCAGGGACGGAGGCCCATATTGCACCTAGGTTCAGGTCATTCTGCAGGTCAGCGCATTTGTCCTGCTTTTCCTTTGGTGGTTCGGACACTCCGCCTGGTCAGTTTTTTCCCTCTGCATGTGCTGCGCCGAATTACTGTATTGGCAGTGCCCGCATTGAGGCCCATGTGACATGCAGGTTCAGGCCGGTTCTCAGATGGGAATGCTTATTTGGCCATTGTGAGTGTGATTGTGGGGCCTCTTCATCTCCTGTGTGCGCCCGGTTTTGGGATCTCTCCTTGACGACCCACCTACCAGCAATCACAGGTGCTTATGCTTGGGCCTCCGGGCACTCCTCTGCGTCATGCCCTCCCCAGTGTGCGCCCAACATGTGTATCGGTGGCTCAGGGACACAGGCCACTGGTGGAGGATTTCTTGGTGCAAAGCCAGAGGCTGGTCAAGCTGACGGGCGAGTCTTCCTTGACTCCCCTTCCTTGGAATGGTGGGTCAGCCAGCCTCGCGCTGTTCTGCTGTTCTTCCTTGCGATCCTGCAGGTTGTGCTCGTTCGGTTGCTTCTTTATCAGCTCGGCTTCCATCGATCACCGATTGGGCGCCTATGTCTTTTGCGATTCATCCGACCATGCCAGGAAGTCTCTTTGTCTCTTGGCCGGGTAGGTTCGACTGTTCCCATCCTGGTCTGGGACAGCAGACCTCACAGACGTGTTCGCAAGCGAGGCATGACGCTTGGGGGACCTGGTTGGGCCCTAACTAGGATGCTCCTTGGTGCTAGCCTGCCCTTTCAGGTCTTCTCGGCTCCGCCGGGGCTGATAACAGCACTTTCTGCTGCCGATCGAATCATTTCCGGCCTGCCAGAGCCTCTCGCCCCGAGGTCGGACAATATCGAGGCAGTTACCAGGCTTCAGGCGGATTCTTTGGAACACCCGTACCTGCCCCCGGTCGGTGTTGAGACAGTGCAGCTGCCTTTGCCGAGAGGACAAGTTCTTGACGCGCCCCCTCGGGAGTGGCTTGGTGTTGCCGTTCTGTCGCCCGGCTACCGTACTCTGACCTTCGGTCTTAAAATGGGTCCGCACCCTACCCTGGTTGCAACTATGCGCAGAGCCGTCAAACACTTTGCTGCCTATCATGATCACCTTGAAGGCATTGCTCCCGTCACGCCCTTACGGTTTGAGGGCGCTGCGCAGTTCGTCGCCTACCCTAAGTGTTTGGACCTCCTCGGAAAAAAGGCCGTAGTTCTTGACCTGTCTAGGGTTCATGGACATTATTTTGTCGATGTGCTGCCCAGTCCTTGTACCTGGGATCAGCTATGCCGACATGTTGAGGGCATCCTTGGTGGCGAGTCCTCGGAATGGCGTTACTGGGTCGGTCCTCAGAGTTATCAGGTACACCCTGGCGACACTACTGACCTTGAGCATGGCGACACCATTATGGTCCTGCCGGTCGGCTGTTTGCCAGGTTTGTCTTCCTCTATCGTCTCACTGTTCCTTGAAGGCACACCGTGGACACCGCTACATCAGGTTTTTACCAGCGACTTGTCTCCGGGACTGGCCGTTCACTTTCGTGGCTCGGTTCAGCCCTTCGCTGCCAGGCACCTTGACGGGGTTAGCGTTGTCGCCAGGATCAGCCAGCTTCTAAGAGCTCAAGAACATGCCTTGTACCTCCGCACCGTTGCGGGGCTCTCCGACCTCTCTGTGCAAGGGGAACCTTGTCATTGCCTCATTCTTGCGGCTTCTTTGGAGGACTTTCAGGTTTCCTTTGGAAGGGTGCCCTTCGCCATTGTGCTTGATGCTCGGCCCATTGGGGAAGGCATACAGGTTCGGTATACGACTTCCCGTGAATTTGAGCCGCAGCAGTTAGCTGCTTGTCTCCGTGTGCCAGACACCTTTGCACAATCTCTGGACTGTAGGATTGTTGCGGCCGCAGAGCCTTCTGTCTTAGCATGCTGCTTGGCCGAAGTTACCTGGAAAGGTGTCGAGGAGGTTCCTCAACCTGTGACCAGTTACGTTCCCCTCTGGGCCTTCATCTTTGCGACATCCATTGGTGAGGCGTTAGGTTCCAATGAGCATTCCGAGACTCATCAGGCAGTTGCTTCGATTTCTCAGGTTAGCAATGCCACAGAGGACTCTGACCTTGACACCACCTCTGAAGTTTCAGGTCACGCCCCTTCATATGTCGCCAACTTCTTGCTTGTGGCTAGGCATCATGCCTCCCATCGTGTGACGGTGCGCTTGCAGCGACCGGCTACCACACAGGCTGCTTTAGACGCCATTTCTCAGGCGATGGACGATGAGTTCTATCGCAGATATTCTCAGTTGGTGCCGGCGTGCCAGCAAATCTCTCCACATTGGGGCCTGGTGTTTGCCCTGCCTGCCTGGGCTCAAGAAGAGCCTCTCTGTGTCATCGACCTCCGGCAGTTTGATGAGCGGATATTTGTCATAGACCTGCCTCGGAATACCAGACGCACACAGATTCTCGACAAGGCTGGCCTTGAGCCGGATTTCCCTTGTGACATCTATGCCTTTGGGTCGGGCAGGCCGCTTACTGATCATGAGGAGGTGGTCCTGGTGCCGTATGGAGTTATCTATGTCTGCAGACCCGCCTCAGCGATCCCGGACTCCCGTGACCTCTCCTCTATGCTTGTCAATCTCGCCCAATGGAGCGAAGACGACCCGCCGCCCACGGAGGGAGACTGGAACAGGGCACAGCAGGTTTGCTTGGTCCATGAACATGGTTTCCAGGGCTTCACTTTGCTGCCTGGCAGATTTGCGCATCATCACCTTGATGTGGCCAATGCGCTGCGTCAACCTCTGCACTGGACGACGATACAGCCTGCCAGACCTCCTATTCACGATGCCGTCATCGATGGTAAGCTTTGCAAAGGAGTAGTCAGTGTCACAGACAGGGTCCCTAATGTCCCCATGCCGCCGCGCAGGCCCGGCCCTAGCATCTTCACGATCATTGTGGATTGTCGGCCCATTCTTATGGGTTTTGATCAATGGGTCGTCACTGAACATGATTGCTCACATACTGAGATGGTTGAGCATTACGAACTTTGGGCGCCGGCAGAGCA